ACAGTACTTGCAAAATACTTGTGATTTTAGAAGATCCAGACTAATGGAGAAGAAAACCAGAGATGGGAGTCTGGACTTCTGTAAAATAGATAATTACACCATTTCTAAAACAGGTAAGAGGATGATTTGTTAAGTATTCAGTGCACCTGTATTCTCCAAAGCAATATATTTTTTTCCTATTTAGCTATTACATATTGATTAATATATACACATGTGTAAATTTTGTATTTTTAAAAGTAATTTTTTACAAATATTGTATATTGTAGTCAAATTCTTACACTTTAACTATCCTACAGTAGTTTATGTTTGCCATGTAGGACTTCATTAGCTCTCAAGTAAGTACGTGAACATAACTTTTTAATCAAAGAAATAGTAGCTTAATCACAGTAACAACCGAGTCATTAACAGGAAAGGAATTGGATATTAGCACAATCTACTTAACTAATTGCATACACATACTGCTGCATATCGCTTATTTCCATCGTACTAGTAGCTATAATATACTAAATGCAGTTGAACTAAAATATGTGAAATGCTCCAGTTAATACATTGCATTATACATCCTTGCATATCAATTCAGCTGAATGTAAAAAGGGAATACAAAAAATTATTACCTAACAGGTAACATGTTAAAGTAAAAACTGCAAACGATGCTTGATATTTTTATAACAAAACCTAGGACTCACTGTATAATGCTTTATTGATTTGATAAAATTACCTACAAAGGTACACTCTGAAAGCACATGTAACTGAAATATATTGGGGTGTGAATAGTCAGAAATTTGGAAAATCTATCTGGTAACTGGAACAGATTTGTACTAGATTAAAACACAGTTGGAAACAGGCAAACAAAATTCTCAGAGTAATCCCAAACAAAAACCCAAAAAGCAACAAGAAGAACAAAAAAAAATCGAGAACAGTTCATGTAAAATTAGGGCTTCTACCATAAAGAATAGCAAACAAAAAAGCGCAAGGGGCAATAAGACTAGATAAGGAATAAAATTACTTGAAGTAAGCTGTAAACTCAACTTAATTTTTATTTTGTTTTTACTTCAGGCTGAATTAATTGCTTACTATGACTTTGTTAAAAATGTCAAAAAACCCCACAGGTGTGACAGGGAAGATTATGGTTCCTAGGATATACTTACACATACAAAATCAGATATTTTTTAAATAAGCAAACATGCTAAACCTAATGGAACTTTACAAGTACAAGTTAAATGCTATACGAATGACTACCAGTGATAAACTGTGAACTACAATTAGCTACATACATAAATAAAGATTCCTTTCAGTGACACAGTGTTACTTAGGTCCCAAAAGAAGTTTCCTCAAAAAGCATTTTTTTTTTACTGGAACGAGGACTTCCATCTACTCCAAGATTTTGGAGGCCATATCACAGGTACAAGGGGAACACAGGGTAGTAGAAACTTCAGGACTTAAGGCCCTGCAACCAACCCGGTCATCAGCTGAAACCTGTCTGACTTTCCATAACAGTGTACAGATGCTGCTGGGGACAACGACAGAAGAGCTTGTAGATAGTCCTTGTCAGAGAGTGACAGACCTAAGTCATGTTTCTTTGAGGCCCAGGACAAGAGACAACCCAATAGGCAGATACAAAACTTGAGTAAAACACCTAACTGTCTCAAAAACTAAAGCTTTTCTAGCATCTTTAGATCCATAGCCCATAAGATGGTTGGATTCATTAGACTGCAGAAGCAGAAACAAGAGAAACATAGAATTCCTACCCATTAATTTAACATGCTTTCTTAATTACTCAGTTGAGTGACAGAGCCCATAAACTTCAATCCTTTCCTAGGCATATGTGTAGTATTTTAATACCAAGCCCTTCACTGAGTCAGAGGTATTTCTTTACTTTTGGATGCCCATCATGTGATTGCTCTTACTGTCCATTTAGTGTTCATGGCCATCTCCATCAGCGGCTGAAACTGTTCAGCTGAAAAATTAATCTCAATAAATTAGAACTACTTTTTAGCTTTGAAAACCCAATCCTACTTTCATCAAAGTCTGGCAAGCCTGTTCTTAGTCAGCACTAACAACATATGCAACTCCTCATCTGTCACAGTATAATGTCATGGTGCTGTTGTGCATTCTGTCACTGCTAAGAAGTGTGTATGTGTGTTGGCTGGCTTTGTTTAAGAATACATGGACTTAGCAGTGAGCACAGCTATGTTCAGAAAAAGAGTTTTCTGAAACTATAGGTGCAGAAATTTGAACTGTGAAGACGATCATGTCACATCCTGTAGCTTAAATCATTCTTTTGGTGCTAAGACAGCAGACGGAAATCTCACAATTGTCTGATATAAAAAAATATCACTTCTGAAAACCATTACAGTACATAGGCAGATCTACTGGACATCAGGGTAGCTCCAATGGCCTCAGGATACAATAGGGCATGCTGACTGTCTTCCCATGCACAGTGAAACTGTTTTCTGATTGTACAAGGCTTTCAATTCTCCTGATGGAAGACCACAAGTTCTTATTACAGCACAGAGCTGGGGGTCAAACCCCTTTTGTTCTTCTCTTGCTTATTATGTTACCTCGGGAAAGGGTTTTTAATCTCTGCATATCTCTGTTCCCCTGTGTCCACCCTGTAAGTCACATCAACTGGAAAGCACATTGTTTCAAGAATCTAGCCTTGAGTTTGGCCTCTAAGCTCTACTATAATACAGAGAATTAGTAGGAGACAGAATATTTTAGAAAATTCAAATACGAATCCCAAGGTAGACACATGGCAAATGCCTACACAAAAATGTACTTTCTCACGTCTATCTGAGTTCCAAATACATCTTACCCAGCTGTGCAATTCCAGCTCCTCCAGCTAGAAAACTGCCTTCACATAGCTCAACCCTGAGAGCAGCCCAGTAAACTGAAGGTGATGAAGGGGGTTGGGGATTTATTACTTCACAATGCAGTTACAAGGCTACACATCCAGACTCTACCCCACCAACTTGCAGTAGAGTGGAGCAGGTGGCACAGCTGCCTGCCTCCCTCCATGTAGACCTACATATAGTCCTTTCCAGGAGCTTGATGAGATCAGGAACCCGGCATTCCAATTTCCTCATGCAGCTATGGCCGTGATGTTTATAGCCAGTTAAGGGCTTATTTATACTTGCCAATACAACTTGGAATCTAGTGTTTAGTGTCTTCATTTGTAACTATTGAAACAAAGGTAGAGAGAGGTAGGAAAAACAATTAATTCAAAGCACATATGACCTCTGGCCAAGAGGATCTCAGGAAAAGATAACTTTCCTCTATATATTCATACCCCTTTTAACTGAATGCATACTAAGAAAATGTTATTGTACGTACTAGAGTGGCTACATTTTAATGAGTTTACAGGGATATCTTATAAAATTCAAATGCAGAAAAAAATTACACAGTTTGTGTAACCTTTTACATTCACAAAGGCTATGGAGAAGAGTAGGGAAAAAACCCTGGGTTAAAGTACAGTGCTTCAATACTTAACAAAATAAATTTAGAGAGCAAACATTCTCCACCTGTGAAATACACTGTGAGTAGAACAGATGGCTTTCTATCCATATTCACTTTCTGGAAAGTCATTTGACTACTTTTGTGGCCGAGCTTCTAGAGAAACAACTTTCCTTCCTAAGTTTGTTGAGTACAGTCTGAACTAGCTTTTTGTCAGGTCACTGCCTGGGTGAACTGGGTGAATTTGCAAAGCACAACAATGCAGTCTCTGTTTAGCAGGTCTTCACTGCAGCCAGTGTTCGTTGTATTTTGACCTGTGTCTGTGAACATACTTTTGGAAAAGTCATACTGTATTAAGGCTGACACAAATGCAAAACATTACGTTCAAAAAACCCGCTACTGTCAACTTAATTGTTGAAGCTGTTTGAAAATTTTAAAGGAATCAATACCATTTTGAAAAAGTTCTTTCTTGCATTCAAAATTGGTTTGTAGTGAGTAAAATTCCATCCTTTCATCCTATCAAGCACTGTAGTGGACTCTGATCTACAAACGGCTATTTGGATGACCTTCATACAAGGCTCCTGCTGGGACAGAACTTAAGAGTTTGGCATCTGCTGCATTGTTTGAAGAGAGGTTCTAGAAACATAACAGCTGCAATTGGTGACAGCTCATTCTGGAAGAATATTCCAGAGCTTACTTTGTTTTATATTAGGAGGAATACAAAATCATTGGGAGTAAATGTAAGACTTTACAAGCATAAAAACCTTGTTTTGAAAAATACACTGCAAATCTGTATTCCAGATATTCCATAATGGGCATTGATACAAACTTAGCCATAAAGAGCGAGACAAAATGAATTCTCTCTAACCCTACCATAAGCACAATGGTTTTGGCCTGGGATATTCATTTACAGAATAAAGTCAAAGAAAAAGAAAAAGAAAAAAAGAAAAAATGTTTTTCCAGAGGTTTAGATGGAAAGGTTGCTATGGCCTTCACTACAGGCAGGACTTCATCCCGATTTGTTCCAGTGCTGTCTTCTGGATCTCAGTCACAGCCCACCACACAGCGGCGCATTACACATGCTCTAGACCCAGTATGGACACACAAGACAATCAAAGCAAGGATGGAATTACTGTGAGCAATCACTGTCCTCCTGTCCTCTCTTCTGCTCCTTCCAAAGACAGACAGACACATCAGTGGGTCAGGGGTGCTGCTGTTACTGAGGGTGTGTGCTTTTTTTCTGTCATTTATTGCACACTACACTAAACATCAGAGAGGAAAGAATACGAAGGTTTGGATAAAAGTTCACGAATATCTACCTGTGGAGGTGGTGTAGAGTAAGCTTTAAGTATTACCTACTTGGAATTTACTTTTTCTCCAGATAGAGTAGAACTTGTACATCATAACATATTCTGAATTCTTTTGCCAATTCAAACATGCTGGATTTAACTTAAAAGTTTTGACTTCTAAATTCAGTAAGTCTAATTCATTTTTTATTTTAAAAGCTGTTGGTCTCTCTTTTCCCTTCAGGCACACTCTATGAAAACATGATGAATGGTACATGCGCTATTTTCATTTGCAACAGAAATCTTAAGCTGGAGTGGTACTGTTATTTGCTGATTCTGGTTTGCCTCTTCACTTTATTAGTAGGATTTCTAGGGAATATACTTGCGCTTCGACATTATGTGTACTGCATGAAGACATGGACAACCAACACCATATTTCTCTTTAACCTGGCACTGTGTGACTTTACTTGGACACTCATGGCACCTTTTTCGGTATATTACAGTCTCCAGAAGTTAACTGTCTTTTCCAGTCAAACATTTTATCAGACCATAACACTGTTTTTTAGTATTAACATCTATGGAAGTGTCTACTTCCTGACACTCATCAGTTTTGACAGATACGTAGGTGCTGTCCATCCTATCACTTCATTAACATGGTGGAACAAAGGAAAGGCTGTGTTTTGTACCATCGCGGTATGGATCTTCATAGTGATTGCATCAATGCCAGAGATCTACTACACAGTTGCAGCTGTAAAACAACGTCTCCTTGTAGATTCCTTCGATGGCACAGAAGGACCTTTACAATTTGTAGTGCCATTCACACTCTCCAAGGTTGTATTGAGATTCCTAATTCCAGTCACAGTCATCTTTACATGCTATATGTTGACTCTCAAAGCGTTACTACAACTCAGTAAACGCCAGCAAAGAAGAAACAGACTGGTTAGACCTCTGCTACTGATTTCAGCTGCTATGATTGTATTCGCTGTTTCTTTCATACCTTACCATGTTATGATGATGGTGCTACTAATTTACAAAACTAATTGTCAACCACCCTGTGGGAACATAAGCACTATAAGCACCATTTATGAAGTCACAGAGATCATCTGCAGCATCAACAGTTGCCTCGACCCAATCATTTTTACGGTAGCAAATAAAACATTCTACCAAAGAATTAAAAGAATAAGATGTCATCCCAAATGCCAGTGCTGCTGTTGTCTGACAGGAAGGGACATTGCTCTGTCCCCAAGAACAACGACTTAAACACCAGCCTATGAAGACACGCATCTCCCACCACACATTTGGCTTTGCCCATGAGACCCATTTAAAACTTGGTCTCCTGTGTTGTATAGCAATCTCTTAACTAAGCAAGAACACACAGCAATGCAGAGTAAAACTTAATGTGAAAAGAAACACTAGCAACACCTAGCTTTACAGAATTGGAATTCTAAATATTCTTGTCATAAATATACTTTAATTTATTGTGAAATGGCACTTCTTACCTATATGTACACACAACATGGAATAAACAATGAAGAAAAGTTCTAAGTAGCTACTTTAATTCTTGGCTAGAAAAATACAGTAATATTAAGAGCACACTGTGTTGAAGAGCCTTCTTATGGTTTCTGCTAATTATTCTTTCATCTGTTTGTACCTGCTGCTGTGATTGGCCTGTGCAATTAATAACAATCATGATGCTTACTGCTGAACTGCTCCAGCACTTGCAGAGAGGTTTTCTGCAAGTACTTCATTTTAATGCTGCTTGCCCTAGGGTTTCTCAGACACTGCCAGTGGAACCTCATTAACCCAGGTAAGTGCAGCACACTTCCAAAAACAAACAAACAGAAAATAAATAGTAAGATAAAGTCCCTGAGGGTAGCCAGAGCCACAGTGAATCTGCTCATGAAGCAAACAAGCACGAGTTGAAGAACCTGAAGTCTTCCCTCAGGCTGCCTGGGTTCCAAACTGACAGGAAGGGCACACTGGTGGTGAACCCCAAACACTGGGCAATTACAGCTGCTTCCATTAAGTGTTCTGCTTCAGGGGAGCATGTGGTTCTGCCATGAACTCTGAACTCATCAACAGCAAGAAGAGTGCAAAGGAAAAGTTCTGAAATGCAGAGGTGCCTGAGGTGCAGGAAGAGTAAGAGAGGATGCAAAACAGGGGTGCTGCTTCTGTTGATCGAAGGTCTTAAGAGTTTCAGGACAGCCTAATGTAGTTAGTCTACAGAGCATTCTAATCATTAAGAAAGCACAATATATAGTCATCAGAACATCCACCTTCAGGAGTCATTAAATATGTGCTCTTTCAAGACACTGTACAGACAAACTAATCATGTTCCATTATCAACCACCTGCTGACCTGCTTTCTTGCCAAAGTCCCACACACTACCTTGTTAATTATGAAAGCCCACGTATCAGTGAGGACATTGACTTTCTTTTCAGAAGCTACTAGTGACAAAGCACTTTTAAATCTACTTTGTACAGTGTCTTAATTCTTTAATTTCCATAGTTTTAATATCATTTTGTCCTCATGTCTCTATGTGAAAATAATTCTATTCTTCATGTATATTAAATCTCTCTTGTTGTATATTTCAATTGTATTGAGTAAATATATATGTATATATAATATCTAGAACATTTTTTAATTGTCTATAACTGTGACATGAAATGAAGAGCCAGGTCCTGATAATCTGAAATACTTTACATGTGTTTAAACATATAGCAAACACACAGAATCTTGTAGCAAAATTGCATGCCTATATTCTGCTCAGGAGAGTTACGTACTCACCGCATTGTAACTGCTGCTTTTTCCCTTTGATAATTTCTTTCAATTTCTCTTATTTTAAAAGAAAAATATTCACCTTCTTTTTATCATGCATGAATTGTCTATTGGCAACATGACAGGGTTATTAACAACGTATTGGCTTCCTTAAGGAAGAGAGCTTTTTAATCCATGAATGTGTAACCGTCAGCAATTGCCTACTATAATATAGATGTAGTTACATCTCAGACTGATAGAGAAACAATGTTAATGGCATTTAGTGACAAAGTGCTCTCAGCACGAAAAAGGATGAAACAGGAGAGATTAGTGTTGAAGCTCTGGACTAAATGAGTTTATTGCACCCACCAGATTGCACCCAAGATTGTAATCAGTAAGCTATTTCCAAAATCAAACACTTACTATTTTTATCTTTCAATCTATCTTTAAAGGTACGGATATGCTGCTTCTTTCTCCTTTCTCCACCTTAGTATTGCTTTTCAGCAAGTTACTTTGTCTGTGTTCATGCTTGGTAAAATTCAATGTGAAATCAAAATACGTTTCCTGGATGCAAAATTAAACAAGAAAACTCACTGCAGTTCTGGGCTAGAAAAGGTAACTTTACACCTCTGGGAAGCAGAGATTTGCGGATTCTACCTACCGGGACTTGTAATATGTGAGCTTTTTCAAGAGAGACAATAATGACTTAGACCATCAGCTTTTCTAATTTTTCTAGAGATTTTTAATAGCAAAACAGTTGTTTTTCTGTTCAGACAGATAATTTTATTGTTGCTGTATAGTATCTACTACACAGAGGTTAATATTACTACTACATATTGAGCAAATATCATTAGAAAGATCTGTTGTTGTTAATAAGGAAAGAAGCATTCAACTCAGAAGAAACTGTAAAAACATTATTAAAGCCACTTCCCTATTTTGGAAAAAAATTGAGTTGTTTCCTCCTGACATGTTGCCTTTATAACACGTATGTGAGCAGCTTGTGCTCACAAGTACCCAAAGTCGGCAAAATGAAACTAAAAACTTCAATTAAAGATTGGATTGAAAGCCTCCAGTGAGCTCAAGACAAACACAGTAATTAAAAACTGTTCTGCTTCACAGACAGCCCTTCTACAAACCATATGTAATGCCTTTGCATTAATGCGGATTGCAGAGATTCTCAAGGAAAGTCTAGGATTTCTCTGCCTGTGTTTCTGTGCGTAAATGGAAACTAAGGTAACAGTAAGGAAATGCTTGAAAGTCAATGTGAAAGCCCGATTAAAAAAACCCAAAAAACAGAAAAAAAAGAGAGAAATTTAATTCTGGTCTGGTAATCAGAACATAAAACGTATTTAACTGAACAAGAATGACCTTTATATTCTCAGTGTGACTGAGCTATGCTGTATACTCACATGGAAAAATGCAAAATTAGATGCTTTTTATCTTCTGTTAGCATCACCCTACCAAAGAGCTGCATGGTCCAGGGCACACATGGTGGAGCAATGCCAGCAGCTGCCATCATGGGCCTGGGAGTGTATCGAGGAGTGCTTACTGTGCTGTACCAGTCACCAAGGAAGAACCAGGGAAGGAAACAGACTTTTGCAGGGAAGAATCCAGATCTCGGACAACTCAGAAGATTAAAATTGCCATGAAATGTATGTACCCAGACAAAACTGATTTCTGCTGCATATCCTTTGATCCTTCCCGACCCCAAAAATGTAAGCAAGAAATACAGGCAGCATATATGGTATTTCTGCTCTGAATTCTTTGCTGGGGACAAGCAGGAGCAAGGTGGAGGTTGCTCTAGTTCACTTCTATAGACCTGAGTAAGGTGAATCGGTTCACTGTTCCGGGTTCACCTGCAGAACAAGGGACAAACTATTTTGACTCTGAAACGCTAGTAAAAACCTTTTTAATTTTCTGTCAATAAAGCCATCTATTACAGAGGTCCCCAGGTACTCACACACATAAGAGAAAAAGGCGAAGGAAAAGCAAAGAAACCACCTTATTCTTCTGAAAAGATTATTCCAAATGAACCCCAAATAATGAACAGAAGGGAAAAAAGAAGACAGGGGCATTCCTACAAAAAGTATCTGTGTCACAGTTCCTCTGTCGCCTGCTCTCCTGGCCTGGGCGTCTCACACAACATGCTTTGTGCTTGGCTGAGTCTAAAGGCCAGAAGTGGTCAGAAGTCATCTTCAGAACACAAAACTAATGAAAAATCCTTTCCTCTTTCACCTTCAGCCCATAATATTCAGCTGTGAATACACCCTAGTAGCTTACAAGGCTTCTACACATTTGTTTTCCTGTTCATAAGTGATTCTATAATCAATTAAACACACTTTTTAAAGTGGTTTTGTTCAACTAGGCTGAACTAATGCTAATGTTGTTCTGACTGAAATCAAAGGTTTTCTACAAAATAAGTGTTAAAAGGCACAAGACATCTGTTCATATTTACCTGGTCATATTTTTATTTGGAAATAAATGCTCCTAAAATGTTTTATTATAATATTCCCCAGATAGAATGACATAAACAAATAAAGTTAAATAAGTTCATTCCATTTTGCTACAATAAGTGAACAATAAACTAAACAGCTAAAAGCCAAAGTCAACATCTACTATGACAAGAATGTCGCAGTACCAGTTTCTCACAGATCTTTGTTTGGATTAAATATGAGGCAATTAAATGCCCAACTGTTATGAGTTTGAACACATTATTGAATGTTGTAATAATGTATCAGCCTACAAAACTGACTGGAAGGTATGGGTAACTTTCATGTCCCATAGCTCTAAGATACTACAGTGATGGACATCTTTGTAATAGACTAAATGAATACAAAGTAGACCCTGGCCTTAAAGATTTGACTGTTTATGAATGCGCTCAGCGAAACAACTTTCTCATTTACTACTGTAAATTCAGCACTGTTTTGTAAGAAAAAATTGTTAAAACAAAAAACCCTGTATTGAAAAGAGAAATTCTGCTACACATGTCCCAAACCTGCTTTCTAAGGAAAGCCATCTTTATCCATCCACTGTTCTCCATTTGTCTTTGTAATACCATTATCTCACAAACTACCTTTTCACACTTACTAATGTGTGCTTACTAATATGAGCTTATCTTTTTTAAATAAAAATGTTCAAATATTCCTGAAAGATTGGTTTTCTCTTCAATATACATATATGAATATATTCTAATATCGAAGTTTTTATTTTCCACACCTCAGAAACACCTCACTTGACAGAAAGCTATGACAAACACTACCACAAGGTAGTGAAAATAGTTCACCTACGTACACTGCTTTCATCAATGGAAACCAAAGCTCTTTAAGCAGAAGAAAAAGTAGGCCTAGACTGATTCTACAACTGGAGTAAGCATGGCAGAGGCAGGTAATGTGGCTAAGTCCACCATTCGCCTTGCAGGGAAACGTAGCTTCTCCACGCCTTAAAGAAACCTCTGAGTCTCAGGGCTGCCAACTCTCCCCACAATGCGCCTGGAGCCCAGTCTC